TATGAGTAAAATCATATGGTGAATTGTCTTTCTCTCTGACTGACTTACTTTACTTAATATTATATCCTCCAGACACATCTATGTTGTTGCAAATTGCAAGATTTCATTTTTTATGGCTAAGTAATATTTCATTGTATATATACTCTTTTTTTTAATGTTTGTTTATTTTTGAGAGAGAGAGAGAGAGAGCAAGCAAGGGATGGGCAGAGAGAAAGGGAGAGGGGGAATCCCAAGGAGGCCTGCACTGACAATACAAAGTCTGAGACAGGGCTTGAACTCACAAACTGTGAGATCGTGACCAGAGCCGAGGTCACACACTTAACTAACTGAGCCACCCAGGCGCCTGTCATGTATCCTTTATCCATTCATGTATCAATGGATACCTGGGTTGCTTCCATAGTTTGGCTATTGTAAATAATGCTGCAATAAACACAGGGGTGAATATATCTTCTTGAATCAGTGTTTTCATATTCTTTGGGTAACTACCAGAATTACTGGATCATTAAGTAATTAAACAAAAATTTTCTGAGGAACTTCCATACTGTTTTCATTTCCAGTTGCATTCCCACCAACGGTGCATGATACTTCCTTTTTCTCCACATCCTCAGCAATATTTGTTTCTAGTTTTTAATTTTAGCCATTCTGACAAGTGTGAGGTTTGTATCTCACTGTGGTTAAGATATACTTCATTAGGGGCACCTGGGTGGCTCAGTTGGTTAAGTGTCTGACTTTTGCTCAGGTCACGATCTCACAGCTTGTGAGTTCAAGCTCCATGTTGTGTTCTGTGCTGACAGCTCAGAGCCTGGAGCCTGCTTCATATTCTGTGTCTCCCTCTCTCTCTGCCCTTCCCCTGCTTGTGCACTTTCTCTCTCTCTCAAAAATAAATAAACATTAAAAAAAAAAGATACACTCCTAAAACAAAAAAAAACCCATATAGCTATTTCACATTCCCATTTTATGAACTTTTTTAAAACACCCAAAAGCACTTTTTAAACATTTAGAAATTAATCATGTTAAGAAAAATTAATCCATATCCATTTATGAAGACAATATTACTGAGAAATGTTTAAATGTCAAAAGTTTTAATTCAATAATGTCAAATATAATGTATAAATCTTCAGAGTTTAGCAAAGAGATTTCTATTCAACTTTATATCATGTTCCAACACAGAGAAGTTAAAAGAATTCTACAGTGACCCATATATTTGTTACCTGGATTCTACAATTAGCATTGTTATATTGCTTGATCATGTATCTAACCATCTATGCAACCTTCTATTCATACATTAACTCATCTTATTTTTTTATACATTGCAAAGTAAGTTGCAAACATGAGTACATTTCACACCTAAATGCTTAAGCACAGCAGAAGGACATACATATATACATATTTCTTTAGGTATAGTATTTGGCCACTGGAGGGCTTCCAAATACCATAAAATGCCCTAGAAAGTTAGTCTGTAGTGTCTTACAGTATCAGAAGATCTACAGAAGGGATTGCCTGTAGTATAACCGGCATCAATGAGTGTGAGAGACTCAATCTGAAATCTAGCAAGAGACTGCAGCACCTTTTATCTTTACTCTCCTCTTTTTACATCTACTTTCATTATAAAAGAGAAAATACACACCAAATTATTTGTGTTGTTGAAGGTAGCAATTCTTTAGCTCAGAATCTCAGAAAACTTGATGGAAACAAGATGTTATATTTGCAGAAATGAGCCGGTATCACGTACTCAGATTAACTGGTTGATTAATACTCTCTACAAAAGCAGGGGAGCTGTTTGTTTTCATCACGCATCCCAGTATGTAGAACACAGCCCGGCACATGCTAGGGCTCAATGAACAATTACTGCAGCAATGAGCAAATGCAAGTGCTTGATTCCAAATATAATCTTCACACATTTAATGTCATTACTAACCAAAGAAGTTGTGTTGTTTCTTTTTTAAATGACAATAAGCCTTAACATAAAAATAACAGCATAGGTTGGTTAGCCTACCTCCAGGACTACAACTGTACAGACAACCTTGTTTTCCATACATTCTTTAGTAATTCAGCATACACCCACATTGCATCCCCCCTGGCCCTGCTGTGGCAGGTACTGTAGAAGACTAAGACTGGGGCAAAAGCAGGGCTGGGGCCACAGGAAAGCTGCCCACAACTGAGGGCAGGGCAGGGGCTACTTTGCAAACATGCCCCGGGGCTTCCCAGAAATAAATGTGAAGTTTTGAAATGGGACTGATATTTTCTGTGAATCAGTAGGGGCAAGAGTCCGTGGAATTCAAATCATTACTGTTTATGTTACTTCCCTTTTGTACCTTTACAACCCATCATGGGGCTTGAACTCACAACCCCAAGATCAAGAGTCACATGCTCTCCTGACTGAGCCAGTTGGGTGCCCCTACACTGTAATTTTTAAATTATCACTTTTTCAAGGTGACAACTTTCTTTACTACTTCCTTGGCCTGGAAGGGCATTTCCATATTCAGCACAAGTTCATCAAGTTAGCAAACATTTATCTCAACAGCTACTATGAGATATTTTTAAACAAATATTTTTATCTCTACAGGAGAGGCAAGTTGTTTTTTGATTGTGACTATATAGAGAAATACACAAATAATTTCAAATCCGTCAGTTTTCCTGTTAGGGATCACAAATGGGAATCAAAAGATGGAGAGAATAGTGAGTTTAAAAACCATAAAATCACCTTGTATTTTGTGATGAGAGAAACAAAGTCAAGAGAAATGTAGCTTAAATTAAATCTCCTTACAGCCTGCAGCCCACAGACAGACACCTGAAATGGACAGAGTTTGACCTTCGCCAAGGATCTCATGGCTGCCTTACTGCATTAGTGTTTTTGATTTTTTAGAGAATGTAAGTAACCTTACCTTAACAGCAGCTACCCCTCAAGGTCCTGAAAGCCTTGGTTCCAAATTCCTTAGAGCCTTAAACTATCCCTAACCCTCACTAATTAAAAAGTATATAACCAGTCACTCACCACAACCCCAGTGCAGCTCCTTCTGCCCACGGTCCTGTCCCCATGCTATAATAAAACCACCTTTTTGCACCAAAAACATCTCAAGAATTCTTTCTTAGCTGTTTGCTCATGAACCCTACTTCATAATTTCATCATTTTATACTCAAAATAGGTACTTGAAGAAGTCTTAGGACTTAAGCTATAAAAGGTTAGAGGTGAAGCAATATCTTGCCCCAGCTAGTGCTGCCCTCTTAATAAAAGGAATATAAGATGTGTAGACCCCCCAAAGACTTTCAAATGCCCCAGACATGCCTGTTGTTAAAGTATACCTGGAGAAAATAATCCTCCCAGTAGAGCCGTGAGAGGCTCCCTGCCACATGGTGGGATGACATACACTCCCAGCACTGAATGTTGGCAGAAGGTGGTTGACTGAGACCAAATATTCATTTGTTCTTTCTCAGAACACTGCTTCTCTATGTCAAAGTTTCCACCAGTCATGGGTACTTCCCTCCAAATAAAAAACATGCAGTGAATGTCATTTTCATAATGGTAAATTTATCTAGTTAAATTAAATGTCTTTTTTTTTTCTGTCGTGACTTTTCTATTTAATTTCGTGTTAAGATGTCCTTTTGTGAATAGGGTGGTGAATGACAGTTTTTTCCTTTTCCCATGGTATTTACCTTGGCAAAAGTAAAAGTAAAACACTCCAAGCTGAGGCGCCTGGGTGGCTCAGTCCGTTAAGTGTCTGACTCTGGCTCAGGTCATGATGTCATGGTCTGTGAGTTTGAATCCCACATCAGGCTCCGTGCTGACAGCTTGGAGCCTTGAGCCTGCTTCAGACTCTGTCTCCTTCTCTCTGTCTGCGCCTGCCCCACTTGTATATGTACTCTCTCTCTCTCTCAAAATGAAATCAATAAAACATTTAAGAAAAACCACTCCAAGATAGCCTCCAAAGATATTTTGGAAATTTTACTATGCATAAAAGTCTAATGCCTAGAAAGCCTAAAACGTCTCTCCTGAATTAAGATTCTATAATGCAAAATACAAATAAAATAATCAACAATTCAGGGAATTCATTTTTCCTATGCAGGTAGTGGGCATGAAACTGAACAAACAGAAAACTATTGATTGGTAGAACAGGAATTCCCTGTTTTCAGCCACTCCAAGCATCTCAAATTCTCTCACAGGATATAATTAAATTGATAGAAGACAGCTTCTAGGGGTGCCTGTGTAGCTCAGGTGGTTAAGCACTGGACTTGTGGTTTGGACTCAGGTCACGATCTCACGGTTTGTGAGTTTGGGCCCCGTGGTTCGAGCCCTATGTGGGGCTATGCACTGATAGTGTGGAGCCTGCCTGGGATTTCCTCTCTCTCCTCTCTGCTCCTCCCCCGCTGGTGCTTGTGCTTTCTCTCTCTCTCTCAAAATAAATAAATAAACATTAAAAAAAAAAAACCTTTTTAAATGTTTTTGAGACAGAGAGCTGGTGCTCATGCTTTCTCTCACTCTCTCAAAATAAACATAAAAAACCCTTTTTAAAAGCAGGCTCCATTCAGGCTTTGAGCTGTCAGCACAGAGTCTGACACAGGGCTCCAACCTATGAACTGCGAGATCATGACCTGGGTAGAAGTCGGATGCTTAACCGACTGAGTCACACCCAATAAGCATTTTTTAAAAAAGAGAGTTCTAAAGGCAACTGCCTGTGATTAATTCCTGGTTCTGCCATTCACTAGCTGCTTTATCTTGGTCAAAAATTACTTAACCCCACTCTATGCCTCAATTTCCTTATTCACAGAATGGGGATAATAATACTGTCTAGATCACAGGGCTGTGGTAAGGATTAAATCAGTAATCCATACAAGGAGCTAAATACAGTGATTGACACCTAAGAGCAAATTTACTTTTAGTGGTATTAGTTAATGTCTAGGTAAGGTGTTATACCAATGAGCCCAAAATACATTGTTTTAAATCAGATGTTTATTTCTCATTCTTCTACAGTGTTGCAAAGGAAGACAGACTGCTCCATAAATTCATCCAAGGACCCAGTTGACAATGTGTCTCTATTAGCCTCAGTGTATGGATTCTAATTAACACCAGAGTAAAAAGCAACTGCTTCAGTTGTCCTTTCTTCTTTGGGTAAGCTCTAGGTCCAGTGTGGGGATTGGACTTGCAGACCTGAGATCAAGTCACATGCTCTTCTGACTGAGCTAGCCAGGGGCCCTTCAGTTGTCTTCATCCACAAAGGCTGAGGTAGCTCACCAGTACTATGTCTGCAATCTAGCCCATGAGTGAGGAAAAATAATGTGTTAAGAGTGAGCATTTCATTTTTAGGACACTGAAGCAGAAACTACACCTATCATTTCTATTCATATTTATCAGTCAAAACCTAGTTGACATGGCCACATTGAGCTGTAAGGGAAGCTGGGAAATGTCCCTGGCTAGACAGCCATGTGCTCACTCATCATCCAGTGTACAGTGTAGAGGGTATCAGAAGAATGGATACTCAGAGATCATAATAGTCTCCCACATTACATACTTTTTTTTTATACTGTGGTAAAATATCCATTACATAAAATTGACCATTTTAATTATTTTTAAGTGTACAGTTCAGTGACATTAAGTACATTCACACTATTGTGCAGCCGTCACTACATCCATCTCCCATTTTCATCACCTGAACTAAAAACTCTTTACCTATTAAACAATAACTGCCTATTACCCTTTCCCTAGAGCCCCTGATAACTACCATTCTATTTTCATCTGTGTGAAACTGACTAATCTAGTCACCTCATATGAATGATATCACACAGGGGTGCCTGGGTCACTCAGTTGCTTAAGTGTCTGACTTCAGCTCAGGTCATGATCTTGCCATTCGCAAATAGATCCCCGCATTGGGCTCTGTGTTGACACCTCAGAGCCTAGAGCCTGCTTTGGGTTGCCCCTCTACCACTTGTTCTCTCTTTCTCTCTCTCTCAAAAATAAATAAACATTTAAAAAGTAAATAAATGATATCACACAATATACACAATATGTGTCCCTTTGAGTCCTTTGTTTCATTTAGTATAAAGTTTCCAAGATTTATCCATATTGTAGCATGTATTAGGACTTCACTTTCATTTAAGGCCAGTAATATTGCATTGCATAGATTTACCACATTTTATTTATACATTAATTATGACTGGGGACTTATCCTATTTCCACCTTTTGGCTATTGTTACATTTCATATTCTGAATAATTACCTGAATTATTTTTTAAATTATAACTTACTACTTTTAGGAAACTCTTATACAACAAGCAACAAAATCAAAAAAGGACTGACTGTGAGGTTCACATTCCACTATCTCCAAATAAATGGACTGTGCTAATAAAATTACTGTCATTATCTGCCAGTAATTAATCTTTGTGCAATATCTGTGCAAGTCATTTGAGCGCTCTCAGTTTCATAATTTGTAGAATAAGGATACCAAAAGTAAAAGCAACAAAAGCAAAAATAAATAAGTGAGACTACATCAAACTAAAAAAGCTTCTGCACAGCAAAGGAAACTATTAAGAAAATGAAAAGGTAACATAATGAATGGAAGAGCATATCTGCAAATCAGATTATCTCATAAGAGGCCAATATCCAAAATAAATAAACAACTCCTCCAACTCAATATCAAAATAACAATCTGATTAAAAGTGGGCAGATAATCCGAAAAGACATTTTTCCAAAGCTATACGCTGGTCAACAGGTACATAAAAAGATGTTCAACATCAGTAATCATCAAGGAAATGTAAGTATGAACCACAGTGAGATATCACTTCACACGTTAGAATGACTATTATCAAAAAGACTAGAAATAACAAGTGTTGGCAAGAATGTGGAAAAAAGGAAACCCTTGTGCACTATTGGCAGAAGTGTAAATTGGTGCAGCTACTATGGGAAACAGTATGGAGCTTCCTCAAAAAATTAACAATGAAACTATCATACGATCCAGCATTTCCACTTCCGGGTATTTACCCAAAGAAAACAAAAACATTAATTTTAAAAAAACCTATGCACCCCTATGTTTACTGCAGCATCATTTGCAATATACAACATATGGAAACAACCTAAGTTTCAATCAGTGAATGAATAAAGAATATGTGATTATATCTACAGTAAAACCTTGACTTGCAAGTAACTAGTTCCGTAAGTGTTCCACAAGATGAGCAAACATTTCTCACAAATTTTAACTTGATAAATGAGCAATATCTTGCAATATAAGCAGTATGTGACACTGAATATCACATGATCACAACTAAATCGGTAGTTCTTGAAATTGATGTATGAGTCCTTTGAATTATGCTCACAAACCAAGGTTTTACTGTATATGTGTACACAACACACACACACGTATGCATGCATACACAACACACACACATGCATACACACACATGTGCATACACACACACAGGAATATTGTTTGGCCATGAAAAGGAATGAAATCTTGTCACTTCTGACAAAATGAATGGATAGACCTTGAGGACTACATACTAAGTAAAATGAATCAAAGACCTTTTTTATATGTGGAATCTAATATAGATAGATAGATAGATAGATAGATAGACAGATAGATAGATAGATAGATAATGTATGATATATATATATATATATATATATCATATATCGAGAACTGATTGGTAGTTGCCAGAGGCAGTGAGAGGGTGGGGGAAATGGGAGAACTGCTTTTGGTTTTGTTTCAGTTTACATAAATTGAAGTTAAAAAAAGAACAACAGGGGCACCTGGCTGGCTCAGTTGGGAATGCATGCTACTCTCGATTTGGGGTTGTGAATTCAATCTCCATGTTGGGTATGGAGATTACTTAAATATATATATTTAAAAAAAGAGAACGCTAATGTTATCTATCTTACAGGCTATTTATAACACATATATTGCATCTAGAATAGTAAGTGCTATATAAACATCATTTTTTAATATTATCAATTTGTCAGAATGGTATTTCAGGTACAATGGACAATGTTGGTTGGCCACCGAATGTCCATTTTCCTCCTCCTCCTTCCTAACAGATCCTTTGTCCAGGAACCTATCCCTTGCCCTTGTAGCCTATGAGACTTATAGATTCTACTAAATTCCTAGCTCCGGGGATGGGCTCTAAATGGACTAACACAAAAATATTCATCTATTCCTTCCTTCTAAGAATAGGCAAACAATCCAATACTCATCAATTCAATGCCAGGAGAGGGTTGCTGGAAACTTCTGGAAAAGATCTCCTAATTTTTAAAAACAGTGATAGAAAACCAGTCTTTCCTGCCAGACATGAGCTGTGTTAAGATCTGCCTGCTAATGCTAACGGCTTCAAGTGGCATGATGGGGTAATCTGCTGGAAATGGAATCATCAAGAAGAGTGACTCATTGTATCCCTCAAAGAATTTGTAATTTAAAGGATCTGCTGAATTGAATACTGAAATGGGAACACAGGAAATCGAAGATCCCAGAGAAGGGTAGGGTGCAAACAGCAAGACTGAGTGCATAGCTGATGGGAAGGGGTAGGTGTATTACTTTGCTATACAGAGTACCACAGACTGGGTGGCTTACAAAACCAGAAATCTATTTTCTCACAGTTCTGGAGGCCAAAAGTCCAAAATCAAGGTGTTGGCAGGGTTGGATTCTTCTAAGGCCCCTCTCCTTGGTTTGTGGATGGCTGTCTTTATGTTCACCTGGGTTCTCCCTGTGTGTCTGTCCAAATTTCCTCTAAGGATACCAGTCATATTTTACTAGGGCCCACACTGACTTCATTTCAACTTAATCACCTCTCTAAAGGCTCTATCCCCTACAGTCACACTCTGTGGTGCTGGGGATTGGGTAGGACTTCAACATTTGAATTTTTGAATGGAAATAATTCAGGGGTTAGAAAGAGTGGAAATAATACTTGGAAAAAGAAGAGTGGGGAGGAAAATGACCAATAATTTGTAGAAGATCATGAGTTGTTCCTAAGAGAAAGGGTAAGGAGGAAATATGAAAGAGGTACAATGGGCCTCCAGGAGAACTGCTTTAGGCACTGCTCCAGAAATTTAAATATTCTGAAGCCCCTTCTATTATAGGCTTATGTTCTTCAGAATTCTAATGATAAGACTGCTCTTTGGGTTACTGAATAGGTGTTTTCATTCTATATTTATGTCTGAACTTCGTAAGTTTCCATTTGAAGTCAGGAAATAAACTCAGTCACCATTTATATATGTTAATTTTTTTGAACCAAAGAAATTAGCTTTGAGAATATAGGGATAAGCAGACAAAGTAATGAATGTGTTCATGGTACCTACTAGTCATTAGCTAATGCCTAGTCCTTAATTATGAGTTCAAGTTGTGTTGAATGCAATGCGAGAAGATCTAACAGCAGGGATACTCCAAAAAAGATTCATTAACACATGCAATATAAAGTGGTGGAATAAAGCAGAGGTATATTTCAAGGAAGAAATATCATTATGAACATAATAAAAAGAAGAGCCTGACTTATAACAATTTATACTTGAAGAGTTATGTAGGGGTCCTATATTGAGCCTGAGCTCTGTACACTCTTAAGATTAACCCATGGACGTTCTATCTGGTGCACTGTGGAGCCAATTTGCCTGAGGATATATTTACATTAGGGATTAATAAGGCTTTTAGGGTTCAAACCTCAGGCGTTTGGGGGCACGTGGGTGGCTCTGTCAGTTGGGCGTCCAACTTCGACTCAGATCATGATCTCACAGTTTGGGAGTTCGAGCCCCATGTCGGGCTCTGTGCTGACAGCTCAGAGCCTAGAGCCTGCTTCAGATTCTGTGTCTCCCTTTCTCTCTGCCCCTCCCCCACTTGCACTCTGTCTCTCTCTGTCTGTCTCTCTCAAAAATAAACAGTAGGAAAAAAAAAAAAAGCTCATGTATTTGGTTTAAAGCAAAACATCAAGAACTGTAAGCAATCTGAGATTTTACCCTGAATGCAAACTAAAAAATTAGCCTGCCACATGGATATTGGTACAAGATATAAGGCTCTTGATTTAGAGAGAAAGGAGAGTTTATTATAGCAATAGCATTATCCCAAATATCAGCATTTGAGGTGTGGGAGGAGGACACTAGTTTAGAGTCCCAATTCCCTGCACATGCAGGGGGCTACATTATAGGAGAGGAACCTTCAGCCTACGGAATCTGAACCTTTTATAAGGGACAGTAAAAGCTCGTTTGCTCTTTGCTCCAGGTGATACCATTTCTGTCTTCTAAGGTTGTTTGCTATACAAACATCCTGAAGATATAGCCCAG